CTTGAACTCAGACAGAAATAACCCCCCAACTTTTGACCTTCCTGCCACAACTTCCATCTAGAAGTACTGTAATTACAGGTATGTACCAAGGCTTCTTCTATGCTAGACAAGCACTCTACCAAGTGATCCACATCCTAACTCTCAAATTCAAGAACAAATAAACTTCAAAATTAAAAGTTGCTTTTCTTTTCCACCTTACACCTACTACAGTGTAGTTTGCAGTGGAATTTGGTTTGCTTATGTTTTCTTTCTGTCTTCTTACATTAGTCTCCTCAGTCTTCTGGCCCTTCCAGGATTAGGAGCGACTAAGGAAGAAGAAATGCTCTATAATGGTAGCAGCACTGGCTACAGCTACTAAATTTCTCTAGCATTGATTATGTTGTTAGTTACTATCTGGAACATGTTTTCAATTTAATCCTCAGAACTCTGATACAGATTCTATTACCCCTGTTTTATTGCTGCAGATATTTAAGTGTAGAGAAGTTCACATCACTGCACCTAATAGAGTCAGGATACCAATTCAGTGTTCTGGTATGAGTCTGTGCCCTTAACCACTTCACTGCATTGCTTTTGTATACTGTTGGAATAGAGTGGCATACTTCCTAATCTTGGCTGTTCTTTAAAGCAGACTCATGCTCTTCAGAGCTTTTCCAAGTGTAGTAGACGTGAGACAAAGCAAACATGCCTCTGCTTTAAAAGTTGAGCCATCAAGAGTGATTCCTTTGATTGGGATCATGTGTTTGAGAGCAGACATTGTCTTTCCCTTGCAGGAGAGTAGAATTTGGAACTCAGAATATACTGACTATTCTTGGCAGAACTCCTTTTCTAATTATTGACTCTTTGATCATGAAAGGTGAATTTAACACTAGGTTGAAAAAAGTTTTGCACTTCTTGCATAGGTGGCCTCATATGTGACAAGTTGGTACAATATCTGTTGTTTGCGGCCTTCACCCAAACCAACTTGGAAGTGGTCTCATTTTGACACTCTTTTGTACATTTTCTAAGTATGCTATTTAATTTCTTGCCTTTAATGCCTGTTTTTATCAGATGATCTCTGGATTGTGAATATCATTTCCTCTGAAGGATGTTTCTGTCCTCAACCACATGATTCCAATCAAAGTAATCATTCCTGATGGCCCAGATCTAAAAGCAGAAGCCAGTTTTCTGAGATTCAGCAAATGAACAACATGTAATAAGTAGCCCTGCTGTTTGAGAGAAAAATTACCAAATCCATTAAATTATTATCTGCCTAGATAAATCCTAACTATATTTTATTTTACCTTATTTTGATTACTTTGAGTGTTTGATTTGGTTTGGTTTTTTGTAGTTGTTTTTGTGTTTTGGACAGAGTCACAGAGTCTTGCTGTGTAGCTCTGACTGGCCTGGAACTCACTGTGTAGATCAGGCTGGCTGTACACTTGTGGTGATCCTCTTGATGCTAGTGCCTCCAGAGTGCTAGGACTACAAGCCTGCACCACTATGCCTGGCTGTGATTATTTGTCTTTAGGAAGAGTATGTAGAGTAGGGTTTTGTTATCTTTAGTCATCTTAATTTGTTTTGTTGTTGTATTTTGTGGTTTTGTTTTGTTTTTTTAAGTGTACGTGTGTGTTGCCTGTATGTAGGTAAGTGCACCTGTGTCATGCAGTGCCTGCAGAGGCCAGAAGAGGCTGTTGGATCCCCTGGAACTGGAGTTACAGACCGTTGTTAGCTGCCATGTGGGTGCTGGGATTTGAACCCGGGTCTTCTGCAAGAACAGCCAGTGTTCTTAACTGCTGAGCCATCTCTCCAGCCCCAATTGGTTTTGTTGTGTATTTGAGGATTGAGCAGCACTTTAATCCATACAGTAAAGTAAACATTCCTGGAACAGGTTTGCATTTGAACTGATTGTGGTCAAAGTCATAATTTTTTCTAGGCTTCAACTCTCTTACCTTGGCCATCTTATTCTTTTTTTTTTTTTTTTTTTTTTTTCCGGTCTTTTTGAGACAGGGTCTCCCTGTAGCCCCAGCTGTCCTGGAACTCACTATGTAGATCAGGCTGGCCTTGAACTCACAGAGATCCGCCTGCCTCCTGAATGCTGGGATTAAAGGCATGCACCACCACGCCCGGCTTGTTATTCTTTCTTTTCCTTTTTTTTGAGACATATAACCCCAGCTGTCTGGAACTGGCTGTGTAAACCAGGCTACCTTCGATCTCAAAGAGATCTGTCTGCCTCTCAAGTCTGGCATTAAAGAGGCATGCACCACAACTCCCAGCTGCATGTTATCCTCTCAAGTGGGGAACAATTTTGTCTTCCCATTATTCAAATATTTTAAAAATCTTAACTTTTTTTCTTTTCGCCCCATACATTTATCTGAACAAAATTTTCAAAGGAACAGTTATATAATGTTTTACTAGCATTATTTACTGCATCTCACATTTGGAAGCAAGGATGATAATATGCCTACTGGCAGAGGTAGCTTGGCAATCAGAGTTATTTTAAATATTTATAATGTCCAGCACCTAAGAAGCATGCTATAATTGTCATTTACAAACTTTCTTTATGTTTTATGTGTATGAGTGTTTTGCCTACATGTATGTAAGTGTACCCATATGTGCAGTGCCCACAGAGGCCAAAAGAGAGCATCGAATCCCCTGGAACTGAAGTTGCAGACAGTTATTAGCTGCCATGTGCATGCTGGGAACCAAACCCAGGTCCTCTAACAAGAGTAGCCAGCGCTCACCTTGACAGACAAAAGAAAAATAAGGAGAAACCCAGTGGATGCTTTCAGAAGCCCTTGTCAAGAAATTCCAGTGGACTCTCATGAACATTTGAAAATTTCCCTGTTCTGACTTCTTTCTAGTTCTCTGTCTAGAACTTATAATGCTAATTACTCTTGCCTTTACTTCTCCTTCACATCTCCTGTTCACCAGGCAAGGACTTTCTTCCCCCTCTATAGATAAGAGTTACGCAGTTTGGGAGTCTTTTAGATAGACCCACTGAAGTAGTACCCCAGTTGCCTCACCCTGCGTCCCTGTTCAGCATGGAAGAAGCCGGAGTGATCTGCGTCCCGATTCCCTATCCGCAAGCTGGGTAGCCTCTTCAGAGGATGGTGTTATAAGAATAGGAAGTACGGGGGCTAGAGAGATGGCTCAGTAGTTGAGTGCCCACTGTTCTTGCAGAAGACCCGGTTTGATTCCCAGCACCCACATGATGGCTAACAACAGTCCATAACTCCAGTTCTAGAGGAATCCAATACCCTCTTCTGACTCTGTGGGCATTGCATGACATGGGTGTACTTACATACATGCAGGCAATACACTCATACACATGAAAATAAAAATAATAAATAATAAATATATATATTTTTAAATAGGGGATAGGAATTGGCTAGGCAGTTAGGGTAAAAGATCCCAAAGAAAAGGAGCCAGTTTCTTGGCTAAAACTCATAATGTCCTTCAGCCTCTTAGCAATGTACTCTGTTCCAAAGGCCAAGAATGTCGAAAGTATTTGGCAGCTTTTATCTAATCCTTAAGATTTTTAGGGTTACCTCTTCAGGGGCAGGAATGTTAGAGTAGCCAAAAGCCCCACAGATGGATGGATGGATGGATGGATGGATGGATGGATGGA